GGGATCGTGTCCTGCAGTTTGGGATCGCGTCCTGCCGTTTCCCGGCCCCCAGGATCCCATCCTGCAGTTTGGCATCACGTCCTGAAGTTTGGGATCTTGTCCTGGAGTTTGGGATCGTGTCCTGCAGTTTGGGATCGCGTCCTGCCGTTTCCCGGCCCCCAGGATCCCATCCTGCAGTTTGGCATCACGTCCTGAAGTTTGGGATCTTGTCCTGGAGTTTGGGATCGTGTCCTGCAGTTTGGGATCGCGTCCTGCCGTTTCCCGGCCCCCAGGATCCCATCCTGCAGTTTGGCATCACGTCCTGAAGTTTGGGATCTTGTCCTGGAGTTTGGGATCGTGTCCTGCAGTTTGGGATCGCGTCCTGCCGTTTCCCGGCCCCCAGGATCCCATCCTGCAGTTTGGCATCACGTCCTGAAGTTTGGGATCTTGTCCTGGAGTTTGGGATCGTGTCCTGCAGTTTGGGATCGCGTCCTGGAGTTTGGGATCTTGTCCTGGAGTTTGGGATCTTGTCCTGGAGTTCGGGATCGTGTCCTGCAGTTCAGGATTACATCCTGGCGTTTCCCAGCCCCCAGGATCCCCTCCTGGCCCCCAGGATCCCCCCTCAGTCCTGACCCTGTCCCTCATCCCCCCGTTTCTCCCTTTTCCCGTGGGAAAAGCTTTCCCTGGCGTTCCCCGGCGTCCCCGGGGCTCCCCGGTCCCAGCCGGGGCTCCCCGACCCTCGGAAAGCTCCGGCAGCGCCGCGAGCGCCGGCTGCCGGGGCCGCTGCCAAGGCAAACATTCCCAGGGAATCCTCCCCCTCACTTTTGGGACAGAATTCCTCAGTTTTGGGGATTTCCCGCCTCGTTGGCACTGCTGGAATTTTTCCAGGAGCTTTTCCAGGAGCTGTTCCAGCTTTTCTGTCTCCGCTGCCTTTTCCCCGGGAGCTGCAGGTGCCGTGGTTTTGATTTTTTCTCTGATTTTTCAGCTTTCCAGGGATTTTTGACGTTTGTTTTTTCCCTTCCCTGTCGCTGACTCACGGCTCCCATGTGATCCCTGAGCTCTCGAAATTCCCATCCCTCCCCATTCCCGGGATTCCCCTGGAATTTTCAGGCCCCCATCCCCCTCCTCTTCCCTCCCCCCCCATCCAGAACTTCTCCAAACTTTTTCCCGGAACTTTTCTGGGATCTGGAACGGGGCTGGGACATCATTCCCCCCCATGGAATCTCCCAGATCCGCGGATCTCCCTCTTCCCTCTGGATTTCTCCCTCCTGGGACGTTTCTCCTCCTCCACCTGGGTCGGGTCGGTCCCGAGGTGCCTCCAAACCCCTTTGGGGACATCCCAAATTTTCCTGGGAACGTTTTCCAGCCCCGCTGGGCGCGGCCGCTCCTCCGGCAGCCGGCCTGGCCTCTCCTGGAGCCGGCCCCAGGTTGGGCCTCTTTTCTTGGAAAAGCAGCGGAGCAGCTGTTCCCGGGGAGAGGAACCGGAGAACTTCGGGAGGGACGAATCCATCGGAGTTTTGGGGGCGTTTTTGGGGAATTTGGGGCACCTGGAAAGTCCTGGAAGGGCCGTGTTGTCCTGGGAGTGTGGAGGGAGCTGTGGCCTGGATCCCATCCGGGTTGGATTTGGCCCCAGAGGGATTTTTCCAGCCCCTGGTGAGCGGTGGGATGAGGAACCTCCTCCCTTTTTCCATGGATTTCCTCCAAAATCGGAGCTCGGGAGGCTTTGGCGCGCAGGGATCATCCCGGGAACATTCCAGAGACTGGGATCAATTCTGTGATGTCACCAGATCTCCCATGGATCTGCTCCAACGGGGACATTCCAGAGCTCCTTTGGGATCAATTCCATGATGTCACCCCCAGATCTCCCATGGATCTGTTCCAATGGGGACATTCCAGAGCTTGTTTGGGATCTGTTCCATGATGTCACCAGATCTCCCATGGATCTGCTCCAACGGGGACATTCCAGAGCTTGTTTGGGATCTGTTCCATGATGTCACCAGATCTCCCATGGATCTGCTCCAACGGGGACATTCCAGAGCTCCTTTGGGATCAATTCCATGATGTCACCACCAGATCTCCCATGGATCTGTTCCAATGGGGACATTCCAGAGCTTGTTTGGGATCATTCCGTGATGCCGCCACCAGATCTTCCATGGATCCTCTCCAATGGGGACATTCCAGAGCTCGTTTGGGATCATTCCGTGATGCCGCCACCAGATCTTCCATGGATCCTCTCCAATGGGGACATTGCAGAGCTCGTTTGGGATCTGTTCTGTGATGTCACCAGATCTTCTGTGGATCTGCTCCAACAGGGACATTCCAGAGCTTGTTTGGGATTATTCCATGATGTTACGTGATCATCTGTGGATCTTCTCTGATGGGGACATTCCAGAGCTTGTTTGGGATCTGTTCCATGATGTCACCAGAACTCCCATGGATCTGCTCCGAGTCTCCAGTGGGGACATTCCAGGGTTGATTTGGGATCAATCCATGACGTCATTGGCTCTCCCATGGATCCTCTCCAATGGGGACGTTCCAGAGCTCATTTGGGATCAATCCATGACGTCATTGGCTCTCCCATGGATCCTCTCCAATGGGGACATTCCAGGGCTCATTTGGGATCAATCCGTGATGTCATTGGCTCTCCCATGGATCCTCTCCAATGGGGACATTCCAGGGCTCATTTGGGATCATTCTGTGATGTCACCACCTCTCCCATGGCTCCGAGTCTCCCATGGGGACAATCCCGTGGGTCTGGGTCCATCCCAGCTTTCCGTGGGAATTTTTTAGGATGGATTGGAGAGGGAGGAACTTCCATTTGCCCTTTTTTGGGGGAATTTCCGTGTTTTTCTCTTTCCGTCGCGCTCGTTCCCTGGGAACGTTGGGGTCACCAACCCCGGGCGCCTTTGCCTGCCCAACGGTTGGGTTGGACCCACCCTGGGTGCTCCGTGGAGCTGGAAAAGCCAAATTTGGGGCCGTTGGATGGATTTGGGGCCGGGCTGGGATGTGGGGAATGGAATTCCCACTTCCTCATGTTTCCAGGGGGATTCTGGGGAGCCAAACGGCTTCAACGGCCGGAAACTCCCAATTTTGGGCATCTCCTGGTCCTGGGTGACCAGGTGAGGGTTGGGCTTGGTCTTGGAGGTCTCTTCCAACCGTAACCATTCCGGGATTCTTCTTCACCAACCTTAATTTTTCCATGGCTGAACATTTCCTTGGTGGAATTCCTCGTGGTGCTGGTAACGACCCCGAATCCGCGCCGTCCATGGCAGGAATCCATGGGGTTGTGTTGGGTTGGTTGGGTTGGGTTTAGTTGCTTGGTTTGAGTTGAGTTTGGTTGTATTGAGTTGGGTTTGGTTGGGTTGAGTTGGGTTTGAATTGAGTTGGGTTGGGATGAATTTTGTTGAGTTGGGTTTGGTTGTATTGAGTTGGGTTTGGTTGGGTTGAGTTGGGTTTGAATTGAGTTGGGTTGGGATGAATTTTGTTGAGTTGGGTTTGGTTGTATTGAGTTAGGTTTGGTTGGGTTGAGTTGGGTTTGAATTGAGTTGGGTTGGGATGAATTTTGTTGAGTTGGATTTGGTTTGATTGAGTTGGGTTTGGTTGGGTTGGGTTGAGTTTGGTTGAGTTGGTTTGGGTTCGTTTTCATTGGTTTGGGTTGGGTTGGGTTGAATTGGGATGAATTTGGTTGAGTTGGATTTGGTTTGATTGGGTGTGGATGGGTTGGGTTTGGTTGAGTTGGGTTGGGTTTGGTGGAGTTGGATTTTGTTGAGTTGGGTTGGGTTGAGTTTGAGTTTGTTTTCATTGAGTTGGGTTGGGTTGTGTTGGGTTAAATAATTTTGGGAATGTTGGGGTTAAACTCCGGGATTTTGGGAATGTTGGGGTTGTTCCCCATTTTTTGTGGCTCCATCCCAGCCACCTCTCCCCAGAGGTGGGATAACGGGATCCTGGAACAGGGATTGTCGGAATGTTGAATGGGGATTTTGGGAATGTGGAGCAGGGGTTTTGGGAATGGGAGCAGGGATTTTGGGAATGTGGAGCAGGTATTTTGGGAATGTGGAGCAGGGATTTTGGGGATACGGCTCCATGCCGGAGCTCTCCCCAGAGCCAGGAGAACGGGATCCCAGAACAGGGATTTTTGGGAATGTGGAGCAGGGATTTTGGGAGTGTGGAGCAGGGATTTTTGGGAATGTGGCTCCATTCCATCCAGCTCTCCCCGGAGCCGGGATAACGGGATCCTAGACCAGGGATTTTGGGAACGTGGCTCCGTGCCGGAGCTCTCCCCGGAGCCGGGATAACGGGATCCTAGACCAGGGATTTTGGGAACGTGGCTCCGTGCCGGAGCTCTCCCCGGAGCCGGGATAACGGGATCTCCCGGCAGCTTTCCCGGCAGTTAAAGTGCTTAGCAGCGATTATCCCAATATCCGTCGGATGCTGCTCCCGGCACTGGGCCCTCCCCAGCCAGGCTGGGAAATCCGGCACTAATCCGGCTCGGCTGTGCCGGGACAAGCTCTGGGAGCGCTCCCGGCCGCCCCCGGGCTGCGGTTTGCTGGGAAAGGCGTGCTGACCCGGTCCTGGCCATGCTGACCCGGTCCTGGCCGTGCTGACCCCGCTGTTCTCCTGGCCGTGCTGACCCGATCCTGGCCGTGCTGACCCGGTCCTGGCTGTGCTGACCCCGCTGTTCTCCTGGCCGTGCTGACCCAATCCTGGCTGTGCTGACCCGGTCCTGGCCGTGCTGACCCCGATCCTGGCCGTGCTGACCCGGTCCTGGCCGTGCTGACCCCGGTCCTGGCTGTGCTGACCCAGTCCTGGCCATGCTGACCCGGTCCTGGCCGTGCTGACCCGGTCCTGGCCGTGCTGACCCAGGTCCTGGCCGTGCTGACCCCCGGCCGTGCTGACCTGGTCCTGGCCGTGCTGACCCGGTCCTGGCCGTGCTGACCCGGTCCTGTCCCTGCTGACCCCAATCCTGGCCGTGCTGACCCGGTCCCGGCCGTGCTGACCCCGCTGTTCTCCGTGTTTTCCAGATGAGCCCGACCCCGCCCTCTCCGGAGCCGTCCCGGCCGCGGCTCACCGGACACAGCTCGGGTGAGTTCTGAGGGACGGAGCAGCCGGGAGCGGCCAGGGGCTCCCAGGCTGTCCCAGTTCACCCTGGAGTGACCCCAGTTCACCCTGCAGAGATCCCAGTTCACCCTGGAGCCATCCCAGTCCCGCCCAGGCCATCCCAGTTCACCCTGGAGTGACCCCAGTTCCCCCTGGATCCATCCCAGCTCCCCCTGGGAATATCCTGGTTGTGTTTTCCCAAAATCCCATTTTTCACCCCAGAATTCCGTTCCAGCCCCACAAATGAGGAGCACCTGGAATTCCCAAGGGTACTCCCAAGGTTCTTCCAGTCATGGCAGAGTGGGATTTGTGTCCATCCCAAACTTTTTGGGAATCCCACACAGATCCTTCAACCCCGCCCCCAGCAAACCTCGGTGCTCCCCAAAATCCCATTTTTCACCCCAAAATTCCCTTCCAGCCCCATGAATGAGGAGCCCCTGGAGTTCCCGAGGTTCTTCCAGCCATGGCAGGGTTTCCCAAGGTTCTTCCAGCCATGGCAGAGTGGGATTTGTTCCCCTCCCACATTTTTGGGAACCCCCACAAATCCTCGAACCCAGCAAACCTCGGTGCTCCCCAAAACGCCGTTTTTCACCCCAAAATTCCCTTCCAGCCCCATGAATGAGGAGCCCCTGGAGTTCCCGAGGTTCTTCCAGCCATGGCAGGGTGGGAAGGGCTGGTTTTGCGTCCAGCCCAAACTTTTGGGAACGCCCCACAAATCCTCGGACCCAGCAAACCTCGGTGCTCCCCAAAACGCCGTTTTTCACCCCGGAATTCCCTTGCAGGCCGGTGCCCGAGGAGCAGCCGCCGGCGTTCCCGCGGGCGCTGTTCCGGCCGCTGCCCGCGGCCGTGCCCTGGGGCGCGCGGCCGGCCGACGTCCCCCGAGGAGGAGCGGCCCCACGACGAACCAAAGCACGCCGAAGGGCTCGGCGCCCAGCGGGGCCGCGGGGGCGTCCAGAGGTTGGAGTGGATCTCCAGGAGCCCCAGCCCGTCCTTCCAGGAGCCGCAGCCGGCGCCGGACGCGGCAGCCTCGCGCGGCCCGGCCTCGCGCAGAGCCAAAGCCAAAGCCTCGGAGAGCTGCCGGCGGAAAGCGCCGGCGGCCAAGCCGGAGCCGGCCGAGCCGGGCTCCGCGGCCGAGTGGACGCTGCCCAAGCTGGACGTGGTGGGCAAGCAGTCGTGGACGGTGAACGCCGAGGACTCGGTGGAGCGGCTGCTGCCGGAGCCGGCGGAGGTGCGGCCGTACGTGTGCGGGGTGCTGCTGGAGGAGCCCCGCAAGGACGAGGAGCCGGAGCGGGAGGACAGCCCCAGCGTGTTCACCTGCATCGAGTGCAGCATCTACTTCCGCCGCAAGGAGCACCTGCTGGAGCACATGCTGCAGCACAACCGCGGCGCCGAGCGCGGCGCCGACGCGCCCGCCGGCCGCTGCCGCTTCTGCTGCGGTGAGTGCGGCTGGGCCTTCGCCGAGCCGGCGGCGCTGGAGCGGCACAAGAGGCTCCACCAGGAGTCGCGGGAGAAGATCATCGAGGAGATCCAGAAGCTGAACGAGTTCCCGGACGAGGGGCGCGAGGCGCGGCTGCAGTGCCCCAAATGCGTTTTCGGCACCAACTCCTCCAAGATCTTCGTGCAGCACGCCAAGATGCACGTCAAGGAGAGGAAGGAGCACGCCTCCAGGAGCTCCGGCCTCTTCGGAGAGCTCCGCGACGGCGCCGGGCACGGCCTCTACAAACCCTTCCAAGCCGACGAGCTGCCGGCGGCGCCGGCCGGCAAAGCGCCGAGCGCCTGCGTCCTCTGCGGCTTCCCGGCGCCCAACGAGCACATCCTCAAGGAGCACCTGAGATACGCCCACTCCCACTTCTCCTGGCAGCCCGAGACCTTCGAGGACGATCCCAACCAGCCCGGCACCAGCCGCGACTCCTACAGCCCCGCCCGGCCCGCCCGCTTCGCCGACGCCGAGGTGTTCGGCAAGGGCGAGAAGGGCTTCTCGGAGCGGCTCTTCCCGCCCCCGTGCCGGGAGGGTCCCTCCCTCTACGACCCCGCCTTCGGCTTGGGCCACCCCAGGCTGGACAAGGGCGACGGGGCCGCCAAGAAGGAGCCGCTGCAGGGCTTCCACCACGCCAGGAAGGCGGCGCCGTATTCCCACCAAAGCTTGGGGTTTGCCGGGTTCTCGTCGTCCAAAGCCTACTCCCACTCGGCCCTGCAGCAGCTGAGGAAGAGAGCGGCCACCCAGCAGCCGGAGGGGGACGGGGACAACCTGCGCGGCCGCCCCGCGGGGCCGGAGGAGCTGCGGCACGGGTGGGCGCCGGCCGGCGCCGAGGAGGAGACGGACCCGGGGGACGGCAGGGCCGCCGGCGCCGTCGCCGTCCCTCAGGCCGCGCTGGAGCTCAAGAGGACCTTCGGGGCCGCCCTGAGGGCCGCGGACCCGGCGGTGGCCTCGGAGGAGCAGCGGCGCCAGCTGAGGATGACGGTGCCCGTGGTGGTCCTGGAGGAGATGAGCGCCCACCCCAGGGCCGCCAAGAGGCCGCGGGGGAAGCCCCTCAAGAGGAAGCTTCTCCCACCGCAGGAGTTCCTGCTGGAGGAGCCCCTTCCCCTGGACGTTCTCCTGCTGGACGCGCCGCTGGAGGGTCCCCTGGAGCTCGAGGAGCTGCTGGACTCGGAGGCCACCATGCTGAAGAACGAGGAGAGGAAATGTCCCTACTGCCCCGACCGCTTCCACAACGGCATCGGCCTGGCCAACCACGTGCGCGGCCACCTGAACCGCGTCGGCGTCAGCTACAACGTGCGGCACTTCATCTCGGCCGAGGAGGTCAAGGCCATCGAGCAGAAGTTCTCCTTCCAGAAGAAGAAGAAAAAAGGTAGTTTGTACCAAACTCCTGCTTCTCCCAGCTCCCGCGGGGAGGTCTTCTGCTCCCGGCCGGCCTCGAGGGTCTGCGGGGTGGGCGCTGGGGGTTGGGGGCTATGGGCACGGAGATCTTGGTGGTCCTGGTGGCTGCGAACCCACCTGGACGTGTGACCTGGGGTCTTGGTGGCCCTGGTGGCTACAAATCATCCTGGACATCTGGCCACAGCTCTTGGTGGCCCTGGTGGCTACAAACCCACCTGGACGTGTGACCACAGGTTTTGGTGGCCCTGGTGGCTGCGAACCCACCTGGACGTATGACCACAGCTCTTGGTGGCCCTGGTGGGTACAAACCCACCTGGACATGTGACCACAGGTTTTGGTGGCCCCGGTGGCTGCAAACCCCCCTGGACATCTGACCTGGGGTTTTGGTGGCCCTGGTGGCTACCAACCCCCCTTGGACATCCGGCCACAGGTCTTGGTGGCCCTGGTGGCTACAAACCCACCTGGACATGTGACCACAGCTCTTGGTGGCCCCAGTGGCTAGCTACAAACCCACCTGGACATGTGACCAGAGGTTTTGGTGGCCCTGGTGGCTGCAAATCATCCTGGACATGTGACCAGAGGTTTTGGTGGCCCTGGTGGCTACAAACCCACCTGGACATCTGACCAGAGGTGGATTTTGGGGGTTTTTTGGAGTTTTTCGGTGGGGTTTTTTGGGACCTTGCTGCATTTTTGGTTGCCCTGGTCCCTCCCCTGACCACTTGTCCCTCTTTCCAGTGGAGAGGTTTTGGTGGCCCTGGTGGCTGCAAATCATCCTGGACATGTGACCAGAGGTTTTGGTGGCCCCGGTGGCTACCAACCCACCTGGACATCTGACCAGAGGTGGATTTTGGGGGTTTTTTGGAGTTTTTCGGTGGGGTTTTTTGGGACCTTGCTGCATTTTTGGTTGCCCTGGTCCCTCCCCTGACCACTTGTCCCTCTTTCCAGTGGCCAACTTTGACCCGGGCATGTTCAGCCTCGTGGGGTGGATTTTGGGTTTTTTTTGGTGTTTCTGGGTGGGGTTTTTTGGGTTCCTTTAGGGTTTTTTTTGGGAGTTTTGGGTTCCTTTTGGGGTTTTTTGGGATTTTTCATTTCCTGGTGGTTTCTGGTGGCCCTGGTCGCTCCCCTGACCACCTCTCCTCCCTTCCAGTGGCCAACTTTAACCTGAGCACGTTCAGCCTGATGGGCTGGATTTTGGTGGTTTTTTGGTGTTTCTGGGTGTGCATTTTTGGGTTCCTTTAGGATATTTTTGGTTCCTTTTGGGTTTCTTTTTGGTTTTTTGGGTTCCTTTTGGGTTTCTTTTTGGTTTTTTGGGTTCCTTTAGGTTTTTTTGGGGAGTTTTGGGTTCCTTTTGGGGTTTTTTGGGATTTTTCATTTCCTGGTGGTTTCTGGTGGCCCCGGTCCCACCCCTGACCACCTCTCCTCCCTTGCAGTGGCCAACTTTAACCTGGGCACGTTCAGCCTGATGGGCTGGAGCTTGGTGGTTTTTTGGTGTTTCTGGGCGGGTTTTTTGGGTTCCTTTAGGTTTCTTTAGGATTTTTTTGGGTTCCTTTTGGGTTTTTTTGGGATTTTTGTTTTCCTAGTGGTTTCTGGTGGCCCCAGTCCCATCCCTGACCACCTCTCCTCCCTTGCAGTGGCCAACTTCGACCCGGGCACGTTCAGCCTGAGACCCCAAAAATGGGGAGAAATTGGGAATTTGGGGCAGTTTTGGGATCCGTTTGGGTTTGGGTTTCGGGATGAGTTTTTGGTGTCAGATTTTGGAGATTTTTTGGGATAAATTTTGCTGGTTTTGGGATCTGCCGAAATCGGCGCCGTTCCCACGCCCTGGGGGTCGAGGTCCTGCAGCCCTACAGGGACAGAGAGAGACCCCAAAAACAGGGAGAAATTCTGCGATTTTGGGATTTTTGGGGATCCATTAGGGATTTGGGGCAGGAGGAGGAGCTTGGTGTCCGCAGGGCTTTGGATTTTGGGGATGTTTTGGGATAAATTTGGGTGTTTTGGGATCCGTTTGGGTTTTGGGATGAGTTTTTGCGGTCGGATTTTGGGGATTTTTTTGGGATAAGTTTGGTGATTTTGGAGTTTTAGGATAAATTTGGGATTTGGGGCTGGAGGAGGAGCTCGGTGTCCGCAGGGCTTTGGATTTTGGGGATTTTTTGGGTGGTTTTGGGAGGTTTTGGGATGAATTTGGGATTTGGGGGCTGAAGGAGGAGCCCCTCTGGATCCATGGTTTGGGATTTTGGGGATTTGCCGTTGGAAATCCAGGATATTTTGGTTCCAAATCCACAAAATCCGGGATATTTCAATCCCCAAATCCACAAAATCTGGGATATTTGAATCCTCAAATCCACAATATCCTGGATACTTCCAATTCCCATTCCCAAATTCCCTCCAAATTCCCCATTTTTTCCCTCCAAAATTCCCCAATTTCCCCCCAAAATCCCCCAATTTAAAAAAAAAAAAAAGCCCAAATTTCCCCCCAAAATTCCCCAATTTCCCCCAGAATTCCCAAAATTCCCCTTTTCCCCCCCAAAGGGTCGGGTCGGGCAGCCCGGGTCGGGTCGGGTTGGTTCGGGGCTCCCGGCCCGGGGGAGGCGGGGGGGGCCCGGTGCGGCCGGGCCGAGCCCCGGGAGCCCCGGAGTGTCACCAGCCCTGTCCCCGGGAGCCCCGGAGTGTCACCAGGCCGGTCCGGGGGGTGTCCCCAGCCCTGTCACCAATGGGCTCCCAGGATGTCCCCAGCCCTGTCACTGGGATGTCCTCAGCACTGCCACCGAGACACCCGGGGTGTCCCCAGCCTTGTCACCAGCAGCCCTGAGGTGTCCCCAGCCCAAAGCTCCCAGAGTGTCCCCAGCCCTGTCACCAGGAGCTCTGGGATGTCCCCAGCCTTGTCACCAGGGTCCCTGGCCCTTCTCGTGCCACCCCTCCCTGTCCCCTCCCTGCAGGGACCTGGGCTCCCTCAGGGAGATGCCACCAGCCTGTGCTGTCCTGCAGGGACCTGTCACACCCCTGTCCCCTCCCTCAGGGACCTGTCACACCCCTCTGCTGTCCCCTGCAGGGATCTGTCACCTTCTGTGTCCCCTCCCCTTTAGGATCTGTCACCTCTCAGTGTCCCCTCTCTGCAGGGAGATGCCACCACTCCATCCTGCCCCCTGCAGGGATCTGTCACTGTCCCTGTGCTGTCCCCGCTGGGACCTGTCACCTCTCTGTGTCCCCTCCCTGCAGGGACATGCCACCACCCCTGTCCTGCCCCCTGCAGGGACCTGTCACTGTCCCTGTGCTGTCCCTGGTGGGATCTGTCACTTTCTGTGTCCCCTCCCTGCTGGCATCTGTCACTGTCCCTGTGCTGTCCCCGCTGGGACCTGTCACCTCTCTGTGCCCCCTCCCTGCAGGGACATGCCACCACCCCTGTCCTGCCCCCTGCAGGGACCTGTCGCCTTCTGTGTCCCCTCCCCTCAGGGACCTGTCCCCACCCCTGTGCTGTCCCGTGCGGGGAGATGCCACCACCCTGTCCTGTCCCCTCCCTGATGCCACCACCCCTGTCCCCTCCCCTGCAGGGATTTGTCACCTTCTGTGTCCCCTCCCTAAGGGAGATGTCACAACCCCTATCCCCTCCCCGATGCCACCACCCTGTCCCCTCCCCTTTAGGATCTGTCACCCCTCTGTGTCCCCTCCCATTTAGGACCTGTCACCAGGAGCTCTAAGATGTCCCCAGCCCTGTCACTGAGCAGCTCCCAGGGTGTCCCCAGCCCTGTCCCCAGGAGCCCTGGGATGTCCCCCAGCCTTGTCACCGGGAGCTCTAGGATGTCCGCAGGGTGGTGCTCCCAGGGTGTCCCCAGCCCTGTCACCGGGATGTCCCCAGCCCTGTCATCAGCAGCTCCCAGGGTGTCCCCAGCCCTGTCCCCAAAGGGCTCAGGGATGTCCCCAGCCCTGTCACCGAAGGGCTCAGGGTGTCCCCAGCCCTGTCACCGGGATGTCCCCAGCCCTGTCACTGGGGTGTCCCCAGCCCTGTCACCGAAGGGCACAGGGATGTCCCCAGCCCTGTCCCCAAAGGGCTCAGGGATGTCCCCAGCCCTGTCACCGAAGGGCTCAGGGTGTCCCCAGCCCTGTCACTGAAGGGCTCAGGGATGTCCCCAGCCCTGTCACCGAAGGGCTCAGGGATGTCCCCAGCCCTGTCACTGAAGGGCTCAGGGTGTCCCCAGCCCTGTCACCGGGGTGTCCCCAGCCCTGTTACTGGGATGTCCCCAGCCCTGTCACTGGGATGTCCCCAGCCCTGTCACTGAGAGGCTCAGGGATGTCCCCAGCCCTGTCACCGGGATGTCCCCAGCCCTGTCACTGGGATGTCCCCAGCCCTGTCACCGAAGGGCTCAGGGTGTCCCCAGCCCTGTCACCGGGATGTCCCCAGCCCTGTCACTGGGATGTCCCCAGCCCTGTCACTGAGAGGCTCAGGGATGTCCCCAGCCCTGTCACCGGGATGTCCCCAGCCCTGTCACTGGGATGTCCCCAGCCCTGTCACCGAAGGGCTCAGGGTGTCCCCAGCCCTGTCACCGGGATGTCCCCAGCCCTGTCACTGGGATGTCCCCAGCCCTGTCACCGAAGGGCTCAGGGTGTCCCCAGCCGGTCCCTGGCCCTTCTCGTGCCACCCCTCCCTGTCCCCTCCCTGCAGGGACCTGGGCTCCCTCAGGGAGATGCCACCAGCCTGTGCTGTCCTGCAGGGACCTGTCACACCCCTGTCCCCTCCCTGCAGGGACCTGTCACACCCCTGTCCCCTCCCTGCAGGGACCTGTCACACCCCTGTCCCCTCCCTCAGGGACCTGTCACACCCCTCTGCTGTCCCCTGCAGGGATCTGTCACCTTCTGTGTCCCCTCCCCTTTAGGATCTGTCACCTCTCAGTGTCCCCTCTCTGCAGGGAGATGCCACCACTCCATCCTGCCCCCTGCAGGGATCTGTCACTGTCCCTGTGCTGTCCCCGCTGGGACCTGTCACCTCTCTGTGTCCCCTCCCTGCAGGGACATGCCACCACCCCTGTCCTGCCCCCTGCAGGGACCTGTCACTGTCCCTGTGCTGTCCCTGGTGGGATCTGTCACTTTCTGTGTCCCCTCCCTGCTGGCATCTGTCACTGTCCCTGTGCTGTCCCCGCTGGGACCTGTCACCTCTCTGTGTCCCCTCCCTGCAGGGACATGCCACCACCCCTGTCCTGCCCCCTGCAGGGACCTGTCACCTCTGCAGGGAGATGCCACCACTCCATCCTGCCCCCTGCAGGGATCTGTCACTGTCCCTGTGCTGTCCCCGCTGGGACCTGTCACCTCTCTGTGTCCCCTCCCCTTGGGGACCTGTCACCATACCTGTCCTGCCCCCTGCGGGGATTTGTCACCTTCTGTGTCCCCTCCCTGCTGGGAGATGCCACCACTCCTGTCCCCTCCCTGCTGTCACCTTCTGTGTCCCCTCCCCTTCAGGATCTGTCACCTCTCACTACCCTGTGGGAGATGCCACCACCCCTGTGCTGTCCCCTGCCTGATGCCACCACCCTGTCCCCTCCCCTTTAGGATCTGTCACCTCACTGTCCCCTCCCCTTAGGGACCTGCCACCTCTCACTGTGCCCTCCCCTTTAGGACTTGTCACCTCTCTGTGTTCCCTCTCCTTAAGGAGCTGCCACTGTCCCTGTCCCCTCCCCTCAGGGACATGTCCCCTCCCCTGTCCTGTCGCCATCAGGAGCTGTCACCTCTGGTGGCACTGCCACTGTCCCTGTCCCCTTCCCTGGGGACCTGTCCCCATCAGGAGCTGTCACCTCTGGTGGCACTGCCACTGTCCCTGTCCCCTCTCTGTGGGCACCTGGCTCTGTGCTGTCCCCTGTGAGGAGATGCCACCGCCCCTGTCCTGTCCCCTGCAGGGACCT